AGAAAGAGCGGCGGGGGGGGGGGCGAGGGGCAGTGCGGTAGGGAAAGAGACGGTAAAAGGGGACGGATTCGTCAAAGGTGACGTCCTGAGGCGCAAAGACACGGCGCGTGGCTGGGTCGTAGAACTGCCAGCCAGGCGCGTCAGGGACAAAGCCAAGGAAGACGCAGGGAATGGCGCGAGGGGAGAGCTTGTCCGCAGTGGTATCGCGAACAAAGGCACGAGCACCTCATACGCGGAAACGCGACGCATCGCCAACCTCCCCCGTCCAACGCAGTGTGGGCGACGTCTCCGGTACTGAGACACGGGGCCAGAGGTTGAGCTGATGTGCGGCGTACCTGACCGCAAACGGCCACAGAAAATGGGGGGCAGCCGCATGGATCATGGAGGTACGAGCGACCTCCATGACTAAGCCAATGCGGCGCTCAGCAACCCCATTCTGCTGCGGAGAGGCCGGAAGCGTGAACGTCTGGCGGATGCCGTGCTCCGCACAGTAGGCTACCAAGAGGTCTGAGGAGAACTCACCACCTCTGTCAGAGTGCAGACGAAGGACAGGAAAGTCCGACTGGAACCGCTCGCGGAGCTGGAGACGAACAGCGCAGATCCAGGGGATCAAAACATCAGGGACGTCCCCCTTGCGCTGCAAGGGGAAGACCGTGGTGTAACGCGTGTAGTCGTTGACGACCAGCAGGAAGTACCGCTCGTGGCCCTGTCCACGGACGCGGGCTGGGCCCCACACGTCCAGGTGGAGAGTCTGCAGTGGGGCCTCTGTGGGAGGGAACGAGGAGGAGTGAGGAGCGGCGCGCTGCCGCCCCTCGACACAAGGAATGCAGGGCGGCGCAGGCGAGGGAGGGAGGGCAGGCAGAGACCTGGGAAGGCCAGAGACCAGGAAGCGAGAGTGCATGCTCTGAAGGCGAGGCAAGGAGGGGTGACCAAGGTGGTGGTGCCACAGGAGAGTGTCGTGCGACAGCCGGCGACACTCACACTGGGTAGCTACCTGAGCAGACGCGTACAGCTGGGGAGACAAAGGGGTGTAGCGCGACGCAGTGGTGAGGGTGTACAGACTGGACCCATGCGCACGTGTGAACGTGGCCAGGTGGCGGCCTGTCCGGGAGCACGTGCAGATCGCCACACGCTGTCCTCCAGGAGTAAAGGTGTCAACCCAGTGATCCTGAAGGACGGCGTTGCTCACCAGGTTCGTAGAGAACGAGGGGAGGTGGAGACCTGACAGCTCACCAGACGGGACCGCCGGACACGGAAGCACAGTGGTGGACCGTGCAAGCACTGGGCCCCCAGAGGGGTCAGCCAGTGAGACAGGGACAAGACGACGAAGGGGAGTGACTGTGGTGCTGTCACGAAAGAAACAGCGGGAAGCACCAGAGTCAAGTGTAAAGGTGTGCAAGGCCTGAGCGGACGCAGTACCAGGGAGAGGAGACTCACTAGCACCTAGGGCTGCAGGCGCTATACCTGGGTCTATACCGGGGTCAGGCGGCACACACAAGTAACAGTCACCCTCAGCACTAACAGTCAATGCATACATGGCAGCAAGGATTACATCATAATCAAGATCAAAGATAGGTACATCACGCCTAAGCAGATCTGCCCAGTTGGGGAATTCAGCAGCATCAGGAAACTTGGCGCGCCAGGCGTCGCTGAGCCGAGCGAAGCAGCGGTACTCAGTGTGAAAGCCGTTGCATGGGCGACCCTTACGGGGACCAGTGAGAATGACATAGGGGCAGCGACCAGGACCCCCAGACGCCCCACGCCCGGCATACCAGTCATGGAGCTGCTGAGAAGAGGGGGTCTGGCGCTGCTGCTGCTGCTGGCCACCACTGGAACTCCCCTTATGGCTGGTCCCACTCTCGCCCCCACCTCCACTGCCACCACCACTGCCTCCTCCCCCCCCACCTCCGCTGCCACCTCCACCACTCCCGGTTCCACCACCGCCCCACCCACCTCCTCTACCCCCACGACCACCCCCACCACCGCCACCACCCCCGCCGCCTCCACCACCGCTCCCGCCACCGCCACCGCCACCACCCCTGCCACCCTTGCCGCCCCTGCCACCGCCGCGCTTCCCACTAGGAGCGGAAGACGCTGCAACCTTCTCAGCACCGAAGAGGTCGACTGCAGCAGCAGCTGAGGCGTAGGAGGGGGCAAGAGGGGAGGGGGAGCACCCCTCAAAGAGGGGAGTGCGTGGAGTGCCACGGGCAGCACCTACAGCGAGGATGTTCTTCTCCGCTGCTAGGAGCTGCTGCTCGAAGTCGGCTAGCGTTATAGTGGTAAGGTCCTTGGCGAGGAAATGGTCCCTGACCGAGCTAAGAGTGTCAGGGAGGCGAGTGACGAGGATGTAGAGGGTAAAGTACAGCGGTGGGGTGTTCGTGGCTAGGAACTCGTCGGTAAGAGCGGCACGAAAGCGGGCGTCACTAGCGCGGAGGTGAGAGATGAGGTCCTCAGCGGTGGAAAACGAGGACAGGTCGGGGAACAGGTAGGGCAGGATGAGGCGTCCTACGGCTGCAGTGGTTGGGGAGGAATAGCGCGCAACTACAGCGCCATACAGCGCCTTAGCAGTCTTGTGCTGACTAAAATGCGTGCGCTCAGTGATCGGCAGGTGGTTACGGATAGCGAGGCGCGCAGCAGCATCGCGAGTCTGCCACTGTGAGCGGTCAAGAACAGGATCAGTGGCAGTAGGGGCAGCGGCAGTGCCTGACGCGTGATCGAACAGAGAAACGCCGTCTTTGGCATCCGTCATAAGAAATAGCTGCAGGTCGTCAAGCCAAGTGGCAAATTCTATCGGGCGACCGTCAGGCTCAAACGCGAGAACGTTAAGCGTCGCCATTACAGCAGCGTAGGCAAAGGCAGTAGACTACAGCAGCTATTAGGCTCACAAGTCAGGCTGGTGCAATGGATGCAAGGCGCAAGGTAGGCAGGCAGGCCAGCAGGCAGGCAGGCAGGCCAGTAGGCAGGCAGGCAGGCCGGCAGGTGCAAGGCAGGAAGGTGCAAGGCAAGGCAGGCGCAAGGCAGGCAGGCAGGCCGCAAGACTCAAGGCAGGCAGGCAGGCCAGTAGGCAGGCAGGCAGGCCGGCAGGTGCAAGGCAGGAAGGTACAAGGCAAGCCAGGCGCAAGGCAGGGCAGCAAGTGCGCAGGGCGAGGCGGCAGCGTGCAGACAGGGCAGAGCGCAGCAGCGACAGGCTGCGCGGGGCTGCAAGCTGCGCGCGGCTGCGGGCTGCTCGCGGCGTCGGGCGGTAGGCTGCGGGCTGCGCGCGGCTGCAGGCAACGGGCGGCTGAGGCGCGCAGCGCGACACACTAAGCTGCAGCGGGCCGTTCGCGAGGTGCAGCAGTGGGGCGCGCTAAAAAAAAAAATAACGGGCGCGCGCAGCCGAGGCGCGCGCGGGCAGCAGGCAAGGCAAGTAAGGCTGTAGGGGCAGACAATGGTGGGCCCGAATCTCAGGTCCTAAGGACCTATTGCTCTAGTTACCATGTTAAGAATACTAGGCAAGAATGAGTAGATTAGGTCAAGATGGGGGTACAAGGCTAGAATGTCGAGAGAAATTCTGTACCCCCTAAAGCTAGCCCCAATACAGCCTAACTAACAATAAACATATAGTTTGACACGCCGTTGGACTGAGGGGTGTAAGCTGTGGTGAGCTGCTGCTTGATGCCGTGCCGCTTCAACCAGCTCCAGAACTCCGCTTCCAGAAACTCCCCACCACAGTCGCTACGGATAGTTTTCACCCTCTTGCCACTCTCTCGCTCCACCATCGGCAGCCACTCTTCCTCACTGACCCTTGCAGCTTCACCTTTCTTTGCAAGTGGAAAAGACCACGTGACCCTTGTGTAGTCATCCACCATGTTCATGGAATACAGGGCCCCACCATTTCCCTTCACCTTTATGGGCCACACGAGATCCACATGCACAAGCTCCAACGGGTCACTTGACTAACTCACCACCGAATAGAAGAGAACCCGTGAGAACTTGCTCGTCAAGCAAGTCTCACAAGAGCCTACCTCCTTGGTCTCCTCCTTTATCCTCAGCCCCTTGACTCTGTCCTCCTTAAAGAGCCGCCGCGAGTGAGGTAGCGCCACGTCGCTAGCGCAATGGTGCGCGGTGAGCCAATCAGTCACATTTGTGCTAAGATGAATTTCATAACAAGCGCAGGAAATTATTTCCAATTTACAAGAAAGATTCCATTCGGAACAAGGTTGTGTGGGTTGAAATAATCGAGGCTATAGAACAAGACAGCTTGAACTTATACTAGGTAGGTGGAGTGTATAGTACTGAAATGCAATATGGGAAGCGATGCCCAGATCAGCGCGGATTACCGCATGCCAGACAATTATTGGGTCATCATTCGATTCTTCACTTCCACGACACGGGAACTTCTGGTAACTGCATTTTCGTCCCAGAAGTTACTTATCGCCTGCAGGCGGTCCAGGAATATCCGCTTCGTAAACCTCTTCGTTCAAACCACAAAGACGGGGCGCGTAAGCATACGAGTGAAACGCGGGGGTCTCAACTCAAGGCAACATGTCCGCCCGCTGTCGCCAACAATAATTTTGTTGCCATGAACCAACAGGATGGAATCTGGGTTGCTCGGTGGTTGCTGCTTTGACGCGACCGACGTTTCCTTTCTTCGAGCATCCTGACTGCCTTCAGACATTTCTGACACCTTCACAGCGGCCTTGCTTCCACTGCCGTGTTTCTTGGCTTGCTTCACCTTGGTATTCCCGACCAACTGACAGACGTCCATCTTGCTCCTGTCCTTCGTGACTCGCTGCGCGTTTTGCCGCCTTATCTGTGCATCGAAACACTCCCGCCTTATCTTTCCGAGTTCCGTGCCAGCAGTTGCTCGTTCCTTGCCAGTTTTCAAGCAGTTCTAATAACAGTCGAGCTCGGCACCGTATAATAGTAATGAGGGCGAGATACTAGGCTCTATTCGCTTATCCTGCTAGTGCAGTTCGATTTCTTCCTAGGTTCGCTAATTACATAGCTAGATGGCCAAAATGTCCTGCGACTCGAAGAAATATTTCTTGGCGGTGCGGATCGCATTGCTCTTGGCATCGCTCGCGCTGATCGGCTTGCCGCCAGCACTCGTGCTCGCCGCCACGGATCCCGCTCACGGTAAGGCCCGTCGGCGGATTCGGCTCGTTCTCGGCCTGCGATCATGCTTTTCCCACCATCGCAGTTTCGCCATCCCCCATACTGGCAGCGAGCGCCTGTCGCCTTCGTCCACGTCACGCGCGATGCTTATCAAGCGAAATGCGAGCAAAAAAATCAGACTTATGATCTGCCACCCTGGATTATGCTACTGTAATTTCCACCCATGCCTGCAATGCCTTTTCCAGCGCGCACTCGCGATGAGCCACAGGCACACAAGAACAAACCATGCCCTTGCCCCGCCCCCCTTCCCCAATCCCTTTGAGCTGATCCCATCACCAGCACCCCACCCTCCCTCAATCCCCCGATTCCCTCCGTCTGGTGTCGCAACCATTTCCCAGTCGCGTAAGCTTTCCGAACGCAGCGACGATCCACGCCACTCAGCGGCGCACGGTACCACCTGGTGTGGTACTAGCACAGAAAATGGCCATGCTGGCCCCCTCATACGCCTAGACGCTCCATCCCCTCCCCTCCTCTCGCCCGCGCTCCTCTCCCGCCCCCCGCGCTTTCTCCCGTGCCCCGCAGTGGCGGCGCTGCGGCAGGTGGCGGCGGCAGTGGGGCGGCCTGACGAGCCGCCGTTCAACGCGTGGGCGGGCGACGACCCGTGCGGGCCGGACGCGCAGAGCTCGTGGCCGGGCGTGCGGTGCGGCGCGGGCGGGAGCTACAACGTGGTGGCGGAGCTGTGAGTCCCGCGCGGGAAGGGGGGGAAAGGGAGGAGGGGGGGGTGTGGTGGTGAGGGGAGGGAAAGAGGAAGTGGCCTATTTGGGGGCTGCGTTGTGAGTGAGGTGGGGGGCCTTGCTCCACGCGATGCTCCACGCGATGCTCCACCTTTTAGAATCAGAGTTGGTGTAATTTTTGTGAAGCGGCGGGAAGGCCGCCGGGAAAGTACGGCATGGGAGTACTTACAGCGTGCACTCGAGCGGCAGGGCGCAAGCGAAGAGCGGAAATCCGGGGGAGAAGAGGAGGCAAGAGGCATAGGACACGAGATTTTGGGGGGGGGGGGGGGGGGGGGGAGAGGGGGCTGTGAGAGTGTGCGGCAGTATAACCAGTTCACGAGCGCAAAAGCAAGTGTTTCACAGCCCCGAAACGGCGCACGGCCAGTCAGTCTTGCCAAGACACTCTCGACAGTTCCCCATTCGCCTTCCACACTCTCAGTGCTCATCTCCCCCTTTCGCTCCGTCTCCACACCGCCGTGCGCGCAGGGACCTGCAGGACACGCGGCTGGCGGGCGACCTGCCCAGCGCCGTCTTCGATCTCACCCACCTGCGCCTGCTGTCAGTCCCGCCGCCCTCACCCTCCTCGCCCCCCCACTCCCCTCAACCTCTTCCTCCACGTGTCCCCACTGTTCTCGCACCCGCCCACAACACGTGCACGTTGCCAAAAATCTCAATCCAGTCCCAAACGGACCCACCAGTCCCAGCGAGTCCCAGCGAGTCCTCAAACTCCAGCCCTCCCATCCGGCGCCTCCCACGCACGCACAGCCATGTGCCACTGCATCGTTACACACCCTAGCGCGAAACGCTCACCCTCTCATGCACCGTCACCATCGCTCCCTTCGGCCGTCCCTGGCCGTCCTGGCCGCCCTGGCCTCCTCTGGCCTATCCTGACCTCCCCTGGCCCCCACCTTGTTCCCCCCGCCCCGCGCTGACAGCAACTTGGCGCTGAACCCGAAGCTCACAGGCAGCCTGCCTGACGCCCTTGGCAACCTCGCCCACCTCACGCTGCTGTGAGTGCTCTTAGGCACGCGCCAACACCTGTGCACGCTGCTGTGAGTGCTCTTAGGCACGCGCCAACACCTGTGCACGCTGCTGTGAGTGCTCTTAGGCACGCGCCAACACCTGTGCACGCTGCTGTAAGTGCTCTTAGGCACGCGCCAACACATGTGCACGCTGCTGTGAGTGCTCTTAGGCACGCGCCAACACCTGTGCACGCTGCTGTGAGTGCTCTTAGGCACGCGCCAACACATGTGCACGCTGCTGTGAGTGCTCTTAGGCACGCGCCAACACATGTGCACGCTGCTGTGAGTGCTCTTAGGCACGCGCCAACACCTGTGCACGCTGCTGTGAATGCTCTTAGGCACGCGCCAACACCTGTGCACGCTGCTGTGAGTGCTCTTAGGCACGCGCCAACACCTGTGCACGCTGCTGTGAGTGCTCTTAGGCACGCGCCAACACCTGTGCACGCTGCTGTGAGTGCTCTTAGGCACGCGCCAACACCTGTGCACGCTGCTGTGAGTGCTCTTAGGCACGCGCCTGTGCTGTGCTGTGCCTCCCCCTCCCCGTGCCCACCCTCCTAATGTTCCCCCCCCCGCATCCCCTGCCCTCCTCCCCCACCCCCTCTGCCTCCCCCTTCCCCCCAGCGACGTGCACGGGTGCAACCTGACAGGGTCCATCCCAGCCACAGTGGGGCGGCTGGCGAGCCTCAAGTTCTTCCTGGTGAACCAGAACCGCCTGTCAGGGTCCATCCCGGCCACCGTGAGTGGCATGCAGCGGCTGTACATGTGGGACATCATGGACAACCGCATTGACGGCGCCGTGCCCTCCTTCCACGGCGCCAACGAGCTCGGTCACCTGTGCGTGGGGCACGGATGTGATTGGGGTGCGGGTGGGGTTAAGGTTGGGGTTGGGGGTGGGGTTGTGGGTGGGGGTGGGGTATGCATGTAGCAGTGAGCTCATTGCAGCAGCTGTACATGTGGGACATCATGGATAACTGCATTGACGGCACCGTGCCCTCCTTTCAAGGGGCCAGTCAGCTAGGGCACCTATGAATGTGGTGTGCGTGTGAGTGTGGTGCGTGTGAGTGGGGTGCGTGTGAGTGGGGTGCGTGTGAGTGGGGTGCGTGTTTGAGTGTGGTGCGCGTGTGAGTGTGGTGCGCGTGTGAGTGGGGTGCGCGTGTGAGTGGGGTGCGCGTGTGAGTGGGGTGTGTGTGTAAGTGGGGTGCGCGTGAGAGTGGGGTTTGTGTGTAAGTGTGGTGCGTGTGCGAGTGTGGTGCGCGTGTGTGTGTGGTGTGCGTTCCTCCTTTCCTTTCCTTTCACCTCTTTGTTTTTCCCCACTCCCCTTTCTCTCCCCCCTCTCCCCCCCCCCCAGCCACATGAGTCGCAACCTGCTCACCTCAGTGCCGGCGCACATCAGCAGACTACCCAAGCTAGAGCACGTGTGAGTGGCGGCAGGCAGCAGAGCACGTGTGAGTGGCGGCAGGCAGCAGAGCACGTGTGAGTGGCAGCAGGCAGCAGAGTGCATGCCACTCATAGCCCACCAGCAGTCCCATCCACCCGCACAGATCGTTTCTGCCAGGTCCGATCCCTCCCAGAGGTCCGATCCCTCCCAGAGGTCCGATCCCTCCCAGAGGTCCGATCCCTCCATGTCCCCCCCTCCCTGTGTCTCACCCTTTCCCTCCCGCCATCCTCTCGTGCATCACGGGCAGGCTGGTGGACAGCAACCGGCTCACCCATCCCATCCCAGCGGCATTCAACAACACAAACCTCACTGTCATGTGCGTGCCACTGTCATGTGCGTGCTACTGTCATGTGCGTGCCACTGTCATGTGCGTGCCGCTGTCATGTGCGTGCCACTGTCATGTGCGTGCCACTGTCATGTGCGTGCCACTGTCATGTGCGTGCCACTGTCATGTGCGTGCCACTGTCATGTGCGTGCCACTGTCATGTCCGTGCCACTGTCATGTGCGTGCCACTGTCATGTGCGTGCCACTGTCATGTCCGTGCCACTGTCATGTGCGTGCCACTGTCATGTGCGTGCCACTGTCATGTGCGTGCCACTGTAACCCACGTCCACTCACCTCTGCATCGCACTTACTGCCCCTTCCCCTCAGTACCCAATCCAGCTATGCACGGCTTGCTGCAGTTGAAACCAAGCCGTGCCCCCCTCTGAACCCAACACATCCACGGCCTTCCGTATGCCCCTGCGCCTACCCCAACTCACCCACCTCCCCCCGCTTCCATCCCCGCAGCTACTGGAGTAACAACGTGCTGCCCAGCCTGCCCACCACGTGGCTCCTCCCCCACCTCAAGGACTTGTGAGTGCCGCACCTCGCTCCAGGGCTGACCTCAAGCGTAGAGCAGTGAGCTCAAGCGTAGAGCAGTGACCTCAAGCGTAGAGCAGTGAGCTCAAGCGTAGAGCAGTGAGCTCAAGCGTGGAAAAGTTTACGGTTCTTATCCATCTGTGTGTGTGTGTTGTGTGTGTGCACGCGCGCGCGTGTGTGTGTGTGAGCGTGTGCGTGTGTGTGCGCGCATGTGCATGTGTGTGTGTGTGTGTGCACGTGTGTGCATGTGCGCGTGTGCGCGTGTGTGTATGTGTGCGTGTGTGCGTGTTTGTGTGTGCGCGTATGTGCGTGTGAGTATGTGCATGAGTGTGTGCGTGTGTGTGTGTGAGTTTGTGTGTGTGTGAGTGTGTGTGTGTTAGTGTGTGAGTGTGCGTGTGTGTGTGCGTGTGAGTGTGTGTGAGTGTGTGTGTGTGTGCGTGTGTGTGTGCGTGTGAGTGTGAGTGTGTGTGTGTGTGAGTGTGTGTGTGTGTGTGTCCCCCTACATGCCCCTCTCTCCCCGTGCACCAGCCTCGCCAGCAACTGTTCACTACCACAGCAACCGCTGCCATCCTTCCCGCTCTCTGCCAGCCTTGCCAACCTGTGAGCCCAACCCATCCAGCTCCTCCCATCCAATTCCTCTTCTCCCAGCTTCTTGTCCGACACACCACACATTCTATCTTGCCTAGCTTCCACCCCTACACTCCCCCTTCCATCAACACCCCCACCTTCACCCACACTCCCACCTTCACCCACACTCCCACCTTCACCCACACTCCCACCTTCACCCACACTCCCACCTTCACCCACACCCCCACCTTCACCCACACCCCCACCTTCACCCACACCCCCACCTTCACCCACACCCCCACCTTCACCCACACCCCCACCTTCACCCACACTCCCACCTTCACCCACACCCCCACCTTCACCCACACTCCCACCTTCACCCATCACCCACACCCCCACCTTCACCCACACCCCCACCTTCACCCACACCCCCACCTTCACCCACACCCCCACCTTCACCCACACCCCCACCTTCACCCACACCCCCACCTTCACCCACACCCCCACCTTCACCCACACCCCCACCTTCACCCACACCCCCACCTTCACCCACACCCCCACCTTCACCCACACCCCCCCTTCCATCAACACTCCCACCTTTCACTCACCCTCCTCCCCACCTTAAACCCTCCTCCCCTCTGTGCTGGCCCCCAGCGATCTGAGCAGCAACAAGTTCACGGGCGCCATTCCCCCCACGCTCTTCTGGCACAGCCCCAACCTCATCAACCTGTGAGCGTCTCACCGTTCTGCACCGTTCTGTGTCGCATCAACGCTCACCGTTCTGCACCGTTCTGTGTCGCATCAACGCTCACCGTTCTGCACCGTCCTTTTGTCGCTTCAACGCTCACCGTTCTGTGTCGCATCAACCTGTGAGCGCCCCATCAACCTGTGAGCGTCCCATCAACCTGTGAGCGTCCCATGAGTGGGTGAGCATCGCATACACCTGGGCTCTTTCTCCCTCCTCAAGTCTGAATGTCAGCCGTGCTGCTTTTCTTCGCTCTGCCCCCTCCCGCACTCCTTCATGCAGCAACCTGGCCAACAACTCGCTCACCGGCCACCTGCCTCAGCAGATCGCCAATGCCTCCAAGCTGCAATCGCTGTGAGCCGCCACTCCCTGTGAGCCGCCACTCCCTGTGAGCCGTCCCACTGTTCACAACCGTTCATGCCAGGGCGTCTCCCCAGATCCTCACAATCCCTTTCTCGTCTCATCTCCTTGCAAGTGCCCACCTGTAACCCTCCTCGCACCCCCACCTGTATGTACCGCCACGTATGCCTGCAGGTTCCTGGCAGACAACAACCTAGCCTCACCTCTGCCAACCTCTTCCAACCTTTCCCTACCTCTGTCCTCCTCTCCCCGCATGGCAGGTTCCTAGCAGGCAACAACCTGACAGGCGCCATTCCGGACATGTCAGGGCTGCCAAGCCTCGTGGCGCTCTCCCTCTATGACAACGACTTCACTGCCGTGCCGCCCGCCCTGCTCAACCAAACCAACGTCACTCTGCAGTGAGTGCGGTGCAGTGCGGTGCAGTGAGTGCGGTGCAGTGCGGTGCAGTGAGTGCGGTGCAGTGCGGTGCAGTGAGTGCGGTGCAGTGCGGCGCAGTGAGTGCGGTGCAGTGAGTGCGGTGCAGTGAGTGTGGTGCAGTGAGTGTGGTGCGGTGCAGCAGAGAAAGAGAGCACCAACGAGCGCAACATAACAACCTTGATGCATTGGCGGCCTTGTCGCCATGACCGTTCCAATGACGTCACCACCACCGCCGTCACCATCCACTCACACCTTCCTTGTGTGCAACCTGCATCGCCTCTTCCTATTCTCCTGTCCTGTCTTCATCCACGCCCTTCTCTCCCCACCCCCATCCTCCTTCCCCCCCAGGCTGTATGGCAACGACCTCTGCAAGCCATTCCGCGCGGAGATCGCGCAGCAGTGCTCCCCGCCGCGCCCTCTCACGCAGTACACGGCGCGCGCCATCTGCGCAGAGCTCGCGTGCGCCAGCGACCTCTTCCGCCCCAGCGAGCCGCTGTTCCGCGACGCCAGCGAGTGCGTGTGCGTGTCGCCGCTGCGCGCCGAGCTGGGGCTGTACCTGACGGACCTCGTGGTGTTCACGGACGACCAGGTGACGAGCCTGGAGGACAAGCTCTTCTCGCAGCTCACCACCCGCGCGCACATCAACATCACGCGCAATCAGGTGCGTCGCCACTGCGCGCCAAGCTAGGGCTGTACCTCGCGGACCGCGTCATCTGTTTTTTGAGAATTCTCAAAAAGCAGCCTGCTTAAATTCCCCCGGTTTCATACAATGTTCAAACATATATAGATACTAACCATTTACTTCGCCAGTAAATGGTTAGTATCTATATATGTTTGAACATAGTACGGCGACCTCGAAATTTTGATCTGAGATCGCGGACCTCGTGGTGTTCACAGACGACCTCGTGGAGAGCCGCGAGGAGAGCCGCGAGGAGAGCCGCGAGGAGAGCCGCGAGGAGAAGCGCTTCACGCAGCTGATGGGCAGGGCGCGCATCAACATCTCTCGCACGCGTGCTGCGCGCCCTTGCCCTTGCGCCTCCCGAAACACGTGTAGCCCCTCCGATTGAACCCGAGCTTAATCCCCGTGTTCTTTCCACTCTCCCCCCACCGGGAGCGCGCCCTTACAGAGGAAAGAATGCTCTCCCTCCACTCCCTTGTCTGCGATCGACAATCCCCTCTGCTTGCAGAGGCTGACGGCCACAACACTTGAAACTGAACCCGGGCCTTCCCGGCAAGTAGCCGGTTCAGAATGGACTGGGTCGAAGGACATGTAGCCCGTTGCACCATGGAACCTTCCCGGCCGAACCCGAGGCCAATCCTAGTGTCATTTCCATTATCTGGTGGAGAAAGATTGGTGCGTGAGTCTGAGTCTCTGTTGGAGGATTCTGGTGGCTGACTCTTTGAACAACATCCAGTAGTCCTAATCGTTGAAGAACCCTCCTTACCTTCTCCATCCCCCCATGCACCCCACAGGTGCAAGTGACGGGCATCAGCAGCCGTGCGTCACTCGCCTCACTGGCGTCAACATTCGCGTCGGACCACACGACGCACGAGTCCACGCTCATCATCACCGCGCTCTTCTTCCCGCCCGCCGGGGACGACTCCTGGCTGCCCAGCGACACGCCCCGCGCCATCCGCGCCGCGCTCTCCACGCGCGACCCGTCGCTGCGCGCCAACCTGGACGAGTTCGGGTCGTACCGCGTCGAAGCCTTCTACGGCCCTGCTCGTAAGTGCTTGGTGAGGGGGGGTTGAGGGGAGGGGAGAGTGGGGGAAGGCGGGGAAGGCCGTCTTCGGATACGCACGTGCATCATGAGGGGAGGGGAGGAAGGGGGGAGTGGGAGGGGTTGGATAAGGGTGAAGTGGTGCAGGGAAAGAGGTGGGTTGGCAGGTGTGTGCAGGTGTTCCATGCGGTGGAGGACCTTCAAGGGCACACAGACACGTCCTTGCTTCGTCCCTGCTTCCTCCCTTCTTCCTTGCTGTTTCCTTCCTGCTTCCTCCCTTCTTCCTTCCTGCTTCCTTCCTGCTTCCTTCCTGCCTACTTCCTCCTTCCTCCCTGTTTCCTCTCTTCTTCCTTCATCATCGTTACTCTGCTTCCCCTTTCCCCCCTTCCATCCACCCCACACACACCACCTGGCAGCGTACAAGCCGCCGTCGCAGGCGGCATCAGCACTAAGCCCAGGCACCATCGCGGCCATTGCCATCTGCTGCGCCACGCTTGTCATCTCGCTCGCCCTCGTGCTGCTCTTCCGCCCCTGGGAGAAGCGAGGTGAGCCGGCGAGGTGGGAGCACGGAGTAAAGGAAGGTTGGGAAGTGCTATTGGGACGCAAGAGACAGCAGCAAGGGTGGGAACGGGTGAGAGAAGGGAAAGGAAGAGTTGATTTGCAGGGGAGTAAAGTCTGCTTGTCAGAAGGGGAGTGTCGAACGTGGTGGGGAGCTGCACGTGCGCAAGGCACGGTAGCCAGAGAGCAAGGCACGGTAGCCAGTGAGCAAGGCACGGTAGCCAGTGAGCAAGGCACGGTAGCCAGTGAGCAAGGCACGGTAGCCAGTGCGCAAGGCACGGTAGCCAGTGAGCAAGGCACGGTAGCCAGTGCGCAAGGCACGTGGTTGGAGGTGATCACCTCATGACCTCGTCCATGCTCCCCCATTATCTGTGTAAATGAGGGTAACCCTCGAATGGTCCTTCATTAAATAAGCGTGATAAATACAGCACACTCATAGTACGGCCAAACAGACAAGGAAAGGTAACCCTTGTGTGCCACTCAATGGCTGCCATCCACACTGTCTGTCAGGGAAGAAGGCAGAGAGCAGTAGAGCTAGTACTGTTACTCGTGGCTGTACAACTTTAGCCTGCACCACACTCGTTTCTATCTCCCCCCTCCATCCCTCTCTTACATCCGCCACCCCTCTCTTACATCCCCAACTCATCGCCCTCCCAGGGTGGAGCCATGCGGACTACGAGGCGCTGGAGGGCATCAGCCTGCAGCACGCGCGGCGCTACTCGCTGCAGCAGCTGCACGACGCCACTGATGGCTTTGATGACCAGCGCGTGCTGGGGCAGGGCGGATTCGGCAAGGTATGTCTGGGGGAGGGCGGATTCGGCAAGGTAATAGAGTTTGTTCAGGGAAGGTGGGTGTGACATGGTACAGGTGAAAGGAATGCATGTGGGAGGAGATTGAAGGAATGCATGTGGGAGGAGATTAAAGGCGTCTTTTCAACCACTGCTGCGACGGTCACAAGGATGGCACCGAGCATTTCCCCTGCTCATTATCCCTCCCCCTTTCTCCCCGCTACTGATTGATCTCCCCCCCCTCGGCTTCCGCATCACCTTCCCGCGCCTTCATCGTTCTCACCCCCATGCATGCCAGGTGAACCTGGGCGTTCTCAAGAGCCGGACAGCAATAAGCAACGCAGCACAGCAGGCCCAAGCCTTATCCCGTTCCCGCCTCTAACTCAAACAACCGATCATCCCCTCATGCGCCAGGTGTACCGCGGGGAGCTGAACGGTGAAGCAGTGGCGATAAAGAAGGCGAGGGAGAAGCAGCGGCATGACGGGGCGGACTTCAAGAACGAGATCGAGCTGCTCACCGCCGTGTCGCACGGCAACCTCGTGCGCCTCACAGGCTTCTGCGTCGAGAAGGACGAGCAGCTGCTCGTGTTCGAGTTCATGGAGGGCGGTGCTCTGGACGCGTGGATCAAAGGTGTGATTGCCGTCACATGTGGTGCGCTTTGCTGGGGATGCTCGTGTTGGGGTTCATGGGGGCGCCCACTGGACGTGTTGAACGGTGTGCTAGCTAGTGAATCGAATGCAAAATCTGAAGCTAATATGCACAGGACATGCTGTTTTGCACGTACTCTTCAGCATCTAAGCTATTGTTCTGTACACGCAACCAAATTGGGTCCCTACCCCACCGCCCCCACCACTCCCCCCACCACCCCCAGCCCCCCCTTGCATGCGCCATCACATGATGGTACCTTCTTCATGGTCTGATTTCTGGCAACGTCCATTTCTTTCTGTCTCATCCCAATCCACGCCACCTGCTTGCTCTGCTGACGTGGCGGCAGGCAAGATGGGTCGCATGCTGACATGGCGGGAGCGGATGCGTATTGCGCTGAACGCAGCGAGTGCGCTGCACTACCTGCACCGCGAGATGAGGCCTGCCATCGTGCACCACGACATCAAGGTGAGAGGGAGCGCGCCTTGGTCTTCATACCATAGATGAAGTATGCCTATATTTGCTCCTGCACCACGACATCAAGGTGGGTCGTGCCATGCCTTAATCTTCATACCATGAATGAACTATGGTGACTTTTCTAATCTCATTCGTCCTACCCATCCGTAACAGGAGGCTCACTCAATGTTGATCCTCCCTCGCCCCTTTTTCCGCGCCCTCCCGCCCCCTCCTCCTGCTGCGGCACGGCAGCCGCCGAACATCCTGCTGACAGCAGCGCTGGAGGCGAAGGTGGCGGACTTTGGGACGTCCAAGTCCATGCCGGAGCGCGGCGAGCTCATGCCCGATGAGATCGTGGGCAGCAAGGTGGGATGCCATGCGGTGCAGTGCGGTGAGGTTATGGGCAGCCGGGTGAGATGCCATGCGGTGCAGTGCAGCTAGGTCATGGGTAGCTGGGTGAGATGCAGTGCGGTCTTACATTCAGCTGAACTGACGGATTGCAGCAACCTGTGAGTCGCATTCGGCTCACAAGTCCTCGCTCCCATCCCTCCATCCTTCCGCTCCCCCATTTCTCCCTCTACCCTGCCCCCCTCCCCCCAGGGCTACATGGACCCCTACTTCGTGCATGCAGGCGTGCTGACGGAGAGCAGTGACGTGTACAGCTTCGGGGTGGTGCTGCTGCAGCTCGCCACGGGGCAGCCGCCGCTCATCCAGCACGTGCCGCTCAGCCAGGTCGTGCTGCACCTCGCCTTCGGCCCGCAAGGCCTCGCCTCCGTCGTCGACCCGCGCCTCCACCACGCCCTGCTCGCCGCTGCCGCCGCCTCCGATGATGGCGCCGCCGCTGCTGCGGGTGTGGTTGGTGGCGGTGCGGGGGAGTGGGAGGAAGGGGGAGTGAGCGCATGGGAGATGGTGGCGGGGCTGGAGGAGACGTTCAGCACGTTCCTGCGGATCGCGCTGTGGTGCACCGCGGAGCACCCCACGCTGCGCCCCGACATGGAGCAGGTCGTGTCGGAGCTGCGGAAGATTCGAGACCAGCTGGGAGCGGGGATGGCTGGTGGGGGCAGCAGCAGGAGAAGCCCGCGTGGGACCGCCAGTGGGTTCACGACGCCCTCGTCCTTCCACGGGTCGCTGCCTCCCCTTGATGCCACTGCGTTCAGCAGCCCCAGCGTGACGGAGGAGCAGAGCATGAGCGGCACACAGGACTACACGTGGAGCGGTTATAGCGCCACACAGGGGCCCCCTTCTCATCCCAGCTACCCCCCTGCTACCGTTGCTGCTGGAGGTGGTGAAGCGTCACCAGGGGCCCACAGGCAGCAAGCAGCGCAGCAGCAGCAGCAGCAGGGCGCGGCACGAGGGGCGGGTGGGTTGGCTCCCCTGTGGGGCCCTGGGCTTGTCGGTGGGGTGCACCCCCCTCCATCCAGTGCCGCCCAGGAGGATGGAGCCATGGGACGGGGGTACGCTGGTGGCTCGTCTGCTACAGCCAGTGGAGTCACAGACGAGGAACAAGGGCACACTGACACGATGACAGGGCCGCGTGCTCGGTAGCTTGCAAGAAATTGTATTGGAATACGAATGGAGGGAGCTGGAAGATAGGGTGATAAACCGAGCGTACTTGGGGTTGAAGTGGTGCCGCCTTGTCCTCCACTGCCTTGCCCACCTGTACCTGGCACAGTCAAGCACTTCTCCCATCCTAATGTTCAATGTCCATTCGAGCCATCTGCTATCCGGGCCTCATCATCACCATCTCTTCATCACTGGGTATTACTGCAAAGCCCCACATAGGTTCCCCCCCAGATTGAACACCAACTGGGTATGGATGCACGATGATTTGTATCTCATGTTCCCCCAGCTATATAACTCCACTGATTTCTTGTATTGCTTAGAACACCCCCTCCTTGCCAATTTGAGATGGAGATGTGAAAGTACAAGTACAGAAGTTTAGATCGAGGCCAAACACTAACGCACACTACCGAGCACACGGGCCAGTCATTGTCTCAGTTTCTTCCTCCATATGCAGCAGGCGAGCTACCACCGTACCCGTTTCCCACCTCTGCACCCTCCTGGGCGGCACTGGATGGAAGGGGGTTCCAGCGACAAGCCCAGGGCCACATTGGGGAGCCAACCCATTCGCCCCTCGTGCCACACCCTGCTGCTGCTGCACCGCCTGAAGCCCACCAGCAGCAGCAGCAGCTTGTTGGATGTTGCGCAGTGCGGACTCCACGTCCACCATGGTGGGGCGGTCATTGGGGCGCCCCTCTGTGCACCACAGCGCCAGGCGCAGGAACGTGTCGAACGCCTCCTCCCGCCCCGCCACCATCTCCCGCGCGCTCACCCCCCCCACTCCCCTCCCCCGCACCACGCAGGCACGGGTCGACAACGGAGGAGAGGCCATCGGTGGTGCAGGTGAGGCGCCAAACGTACTGCCTGAGCAGCACTTTCCCATGGTCACTCGGGACGAGTGGAGGCTGCCCCGTGGCGAGCTGCAGCAGCACCACGCCGAAGCTGTACACGTCGCTATACTCTGTCAGCTTGTTTGAGTGCATGAAGTCCGGGTCGAGGTAGCCCTGGGGAGGAGGGGAGGGGGGGAGGGGGAGAGGGGGGATGGGAGGAACATTACGCTGCGGATGGAAGGTTTGAAGCATTTAGGAGCGTAAGAGTACAGAAATGGATGTCGGAGCAAAGGCATGATGCAGCACGTTGCCTCCTCTCCTCTCACCCGCCTGCCACTCCTCTCATCTCACCCGTCTCTCCTCTCCTCTCCTCTCCTCTCCTCTCCTATCCTCTCCTCTCCTCTCCTCTCCTCTCCTCTCCTCTCCTCTCCTCTCCTCTCCTATCCTATCCTCTACTCTCCTCTCCTCTCCTCTCCTCTCCTCTCCCCTTCTCTCCTCTCCTCTCACCTTGGTCATGATGACCGTATCGCCCGAAGCCCGAAATCCAGCTTGCCGCGCTCCGGCAGCGTCTTGGACGTCCCAAAGTCCGCCACCTTCGCCTCCATGGGCTGCCCTGCCGTCAGCAGGATGTTGTCCGGCTGCCACCCGCCAGGAAAGAAAAGAGAGGGGGGGTTGGGGGGAGGGTGGGGGGGGGAGGGTGAGGGGATGAGAAGTGACCTCGAGTGAGGCACCTTGGTCTTCATTCCGAGACACACTTCATCCTGGATTGAGAGGATGGAGGAGCTCAGATTGAGAGGATGGAGGAGCTCAGATTGAGAGGATGGAGGAGCTCAGATTGAGAGGATGGAGGAGCTCAGATTGAGAGGATTGAGGAGCTCAGATTGAGAGGATTGCACGCTTTTATTCATTCATGCTTCTTACTTCAAAAAATGACGGATGAAGAGAGTGGGAGGTGCGGTCTCACCTTGATGTCCCCGTGCACAACACTTTCTCCATTCAGAAGTTCGCTGTGCAGGTAGCGCAGTGCACTCGCAACGTTCTGGGCAATGCGAATCCGCTCCCGCCACGTCAGACTGCGCATCCTGTTGCCTGTCGCCATGTCGGTAGAGCCAGCCGGCAGAGTGGGAGTGGATTGAGAGAGGAGTGGAATGGTTGTTGGGAAAAATCACAGGATCAATGCGGAAGGAGATGTGTGGAAAGGGAGGAAATGGGTTGGGAAGGAGGAAGGAGATGGGGGTGGAAAGGAGGAAGGAGATGGGGTGGGAAGGAGGAAGGAGGGGGTGGGAAGGAGGAAGGAGAAGGGGGTGGGAAGGAGGAAGGAGAAGGGGGTGGGAAGGAGGAAGGAGAAGTGGGTGGGAAGGAGGAAGGAGATGGGGTGGGAAGGAAGAAGGAGATGGGGGTGGGAAGGAGTTGCTGAGTAGTTCATGGGCTGTGGTGCTCACTCGTCTCAACGCACATAGCAGCGCAGCACGCAGCGACAGCAGGCGCCACAGTTGATGCAAAACCCACCCGTGATCCATTCGTTCAGAGCAAAACCCACCCGTGATCCATTCGTTCATAGCAAAACCCACCCGTGATCCATTCCTTCAGAGCACCGCCCTCCATGAATTCAAACACCAGCAGCTGCTCATCATTCTCGACGCAGAACCCTCTGAGCTACACGAGGTTGCGGTGTGACGCTTTGGTGAGAAGCTCGATCTCGTTCGTGAAGGCCTTTCCGTCATGCTGATGCTTCTTGGTCGCCTTCTTTATCGCCACCGCCTCACCGTTCAGCACCCCTCTGTACACCTGGTGGCCGCAAGGGGATGGGGAAGGGAGGAGGGAGGAGGGGGACAAGGGGGAATGGGTGGGAAGAATGGAAGGGAGAGGGAGGGACGGGGGAAGGGGTTGGCGCGATTGTGCTGCGCTGCTTGTTACCAGTGCCTTCCCTTTAGCACCCCGTTATACACTGGCAAACACAGAAGGGAAGGGTAAGGGCGGAGATGATTAGGGAGGTAAAAAGGAGGCTCCAGAAGGGGTGGGGGAACCATAACCCACTAAACCTTGGGTCACAAATCCAGGAACCCCACTAACACATCAATCGATTGTGTGACACAATGGGCTGGGTGTTGATGGGATGGGTGTTGAGGGGCTGGGAGTCAGTGGCCAAATCCGCCCTCCCCCAGACATACCTTGCCGAATCCGCCCTGCCCCAGCAGCAGCTGGTCGTCGAAGCCGTCGGTGGCGTTGTGCAGCTGCTGCAGCGAGTAGCGCTGCGCGTACGGCAGGGTGATGCCCTCCACCACGTAGCGCTGCTCTTGCTGCACGAGGATGGCCTCCAGTGTCTTCAAGTCCGCTTGGCTCAACCCTGGGGGGGCGATGAGTGGGAAGACATAAAGGAGTGTTCGGCACGTTGCTGCCCTATAGCGCTCATGATCCACGCTGAACCACCCTGCATGGCTGAGTGGAGAAGGAGACGGAGTGCATAGAGGTAGGGGTGAGCAAGGGGCGAACACAGCCGTTTGCCAGGTTCGCCCCTACACGAACACAGCCGTTTGCCAAACCGAATACTGTTCGGTTCGGCGAACACCTTGCGCAAAAACAGGTGTTTGCTGTTCGCCTGTGAAGGCGTGTACGGGCGAACCTCGAACACATTCGTGTTTATTGTGGGGCAAATTGTAGCAGAGGCCCGAACACGAACGTGTTCGGGCGAACCTCGAACACTGTTCGGAGAACACTTTAAGCAAGAAAAAAACAAACCTGTTCGGTTCACTTCGTTTTTTTGCTCGTCCATATATAGAGGGATGGCGTACGGAAGAGGCAACGAGGGTTGTGTGATGCTATCATTTGCATTTACGCCTGTCTGCCTCCCATCATTGTTCTGACTTGCATGCGTGGTGTGCACGTGCGTAAAGATTGTGTTTGACATGCTTTAGATTTTGTGAGTGTGTGTGAAGCTCATTTTGTTTGAGCAGATATCGGAAATGACTTCTCTGCTGAAGAAATTTTTGATAAACCAAGAATCGTTTCAACCGGAGCAAAAATGAGAAAATTGCGAACGGTTGAAGCTCGTACATTTTTTTATATTTTGTTGTGACGATTTTGAGAATTTATGGGGCGACTCTCTATGGGGTAAAGACTATTAGGGGTTGGGAAAATTCGTCACCTCACTGTAGTTGATGCGAAATGGTTGGTGTTAAATGCAATACATGGTTTGTATGACAACCTACCACATACTCGCCGACGTTGAGTAAAAGTAAGGTACTTGGTTTGAAGGTAATTTGTTGTGTGTGAGTTGCACATTTTTGTGCTTTGTGTTTGTGCGTTTACGGCTTGTGAATCGCCATAACGAATTATGAGCTATGTGAGTCTTCGTGAAAGGTTGCGTTCTTGAGTGTTCGTGAATGCCCGTTTGTGAATGCGGGACTTCGTGTGCGTTTGCGTTGTTTCGCGGATTGTCATGAGTGTGCGTTAATCTTATGTTCGTAAATTTCCGTGGGGTCGATGCGTTGTTCATGAATGTTTGTGAGCGTTCATGTCTCTTTTGTTTCTCGTTTTTTTTGTGTGTCCGTGAACGGTTGTGGATGTTCACTGTGAGGATCTAGGATCGAGCTCAGAAAAGAGAATTTGAATTGAATGATCACCTGGGTACAACACGAGGCTATATATAGGCTCGACACAAGGCCCCGTAACCAGGTGTTACGCGAAGGTTCCGCGGGTCGCGAAGCGTCCCGAACAGATCCTTCCCGAATTCGGTAGAAGGCAATTCGGTGGCAACCGAAAAGCCAGAATTCGGTGCACGCAACCTAGCTCGGTGCTATAACTATAATAAAATATAGGAAAGCACCTAGCCTAGGAAATCAAGCAATTCATGCATGCATATAATTATCCTATGCTAGAAATAGCATCATAAAGTAAAGGCAAGCAAGCATAGCTGGCATAAGCCGTCGTACTCTCACACGTCCCCCCCTCAAAGCTGGGTGGCGTGAGATACACCCTGCTTTACAAGATAGTCCTTGAGAGCACGGCGTGTGTTGCCCATATCAGCTTCTGCAACCCAACTGTCCTCAGTGGGGTCGTATCCCTTCCAGCGTATCAGGAACTCGAGGGTCTTGCCGCCACGGCGCCGATGAGTGAGAACACGCTCCACTTCGTACTCGGGTTCATCCTGTATGA